AATAGACTAAATATTGAATGCTTGAGATCATATTGACAAAGGAATCAATTGGTATAGACAAATAATTGATTATCGTCATAATATAGTATATAGCACCGTTAAATGGAAAATGAATTTTGTTATTCTGTTCTGTGGTTAGCAGTATAATAGGTGAACAACAATAACATCCAGGTTAAAAAAATCACGGTAATTTTAAAACAAATATACTCTAGGCCAAAAATTTCCAAACTTTCTTTGATTACGGCACCATTGCTAGCTCAATAATTGTTTCATGGCATTCTTAAAAACAAAGGAAATATAGAACTACTCAATTTTATTTAGTAAAGTCCAAATAGCTTATCTGTGATAGTTCACATAGTATCCAATAGATGCCTCTGTATTTTCTCTAAATTTTTAAAATATCCTGTGCCCCTGTGAATTACCTATAGCACCCTGGGAACCTTGGCACACAATATGAGAACCATGGCAGTAGGCACATATCCAAGTATACCTGGTAAATATTCTGTATCTACAGCTATATTTCATATTCAGTTTGATAATTTGAGCCACTCTTTTACTATCAAGCCAGCCCTTTTAAAAATTGTTTTATACTGTATATAGAAAATGTGTTATTTTGTTGGATTTTGCCATTCATGCATAGTTTTTAAATTTCTACATAAAAAATTTTCCTGTTTAATTTTCTAAAGCATCTAATGCAGTTACAATTATATGACTGGGAACTTTAAACCCAAATAGAAAAGAGAGGTGCAGAGGACGGCAGTTTCTATTAATAAGATAATCACCTACACCTCTAATTTCTACCTCTAGAATACACACTCTGAAGAAACATCAGTGATCCTAAACATAGAGTGCAAAGAAGCCATGTGCTACAGAAAGAGGCCTGGAATGAGAGTCAGAGAAAGTGGTTTTGACTAACCTTTTATCCATCAACCACCTTATCTCAAAAGTCTCTCTCAAGTACAAAATGTTGGGCTGACACCAACATGACCATTCAAAATTATTTTCCTTTAAAGTCATTTTTTTTTGTAAAGTAGGATTTGCTCTAGAATGAGCAAAGGAAGTATCTTTCCAAAAACATAAAACTGTTCTACAGGTATCAAAGGCATTTTTATTTTATTTCAAAAATATGTATCTGTCACAAGTGTCACAGATCACATATTGAAGTCTTTGATAAATAACTTAGGATACTACTCAGACTTTCCAGCAGGGCAAATGGACTGTGTTCTTGGACTCTTCAACCATCCACTGTGTACTTGAATCAATTCATTTGTACAACCAGTTATTTCATTAATTTAGAATTGCAACTTTAGTTACGTAGTTGTTCAAACTTAAAGGGCTGCAATAATTATTTTCTGACTAAAATGAGCTGTTATCCACAAACATACTTTAGAATAGAGACTTCTAATTATTTGTTATAAAATCTGGGGTGTGTTTACATATAGCAAGTAAGTTGACAGCTTTAATAGAACTGAGATGTTCGAAATAGAGATTATTCAACTAATTTTTTCCTTTCCCTGAATGAACTGGTCTCTGCTGACTGCTTAAACCAGTGTTCTTATATAATTATTTTCAAGTTCTCTATTTATTTTATACACACACACTATATATATGGGGGGGATTTTATTCAAAAATATACATCATTTATACCTCCTAAGTTTTCAAGTATTTTTAGGATTTTAATAAGTAAGGAAAGCAATAATAGATATGGATCCATGAAGAAATGTGGTTTCATGCCTAATTTCATTAATACCAAATGCCCAAACAGAATCTGAGAGTCTGCTAATACTCCATCAACATTTGTGAACTGATCCCCATACTCATGAAAAAGAATGGACAGCAATATTTTTTACAGTTTCTTTTCTTTCTGTCTAGTCAATTTTCTCTGATGTGCCTGGCTGTGCTGCTATTAATTTATTCTTATATTGCTTAAATGATGTGCACTCTAGCAGGCAAGAGAGGCTCAGCAACCACATTTTGTGGGTTTCTATTCCATACCACATTTCAGCTATTATATATTTCTTAAAGAAAAAAATATCTTTATGTCTAACTAAAAGCTTCTGTTCTAGAAACAGGAGATGTTAACTAAATTTACAATGATTAGATTCCTTTAACTGTGTTTTTATTTTTTTTCCTATTGAGTTCATTTAAAGTTCCTAGTTTAGTTCCAAGGCTTTTAAAATGTATTTCATTTTATGAAGACATCTAGTCTAAACAGGAAAATGTATCATCAGTATGTTCTATGAATGGATTGATGAAAAGTATCTGAGTTTTTGATAGCAACAAATAGGGTATCTTTCATATTTGCTTGAAATTGAAATTGAGAAGGATTGGTCAGTCTCTTTTATTGAAGAATACGTAATAAATTAAAATAATTGGCAACTAGAAAAGTCACAAATGGTTGACAATTATGAGGGGAATAAATCAGTCCCACTAAAGAGCGGAAATGGCACAATTTCTTCTCCTACCTCTATTCCTTTCCTGAAATGTGATCAGGGAGGACATCATCTGGAATCACTGCCACCCAGTTCCTTATTCAAACTGACTCAAAATGGCAGGGGTCAAGGAGGGTGGCACTTTCTTTTGCTACTGGCTTCTGCTTAGTTCTAGAGTTTGGTGCAATGCCAGTTTCAAGCTTGCCAGCAGCTGCAAAGCCTTTTTTCTATTTTATTTCCAAGGTTACAAAAGAAGTGGCATCATTTATAAGTTTAAGCACTGAAAGTATGAATACCAAATGGTTAATATACTAACAATTTTGGAAATGGAAAAAATTCTCCATTCCACATTCCATGAACAATGAACAAATTTAGTATGCCACCTCTGTCAATGAGAGTGAGGTACAGGTGTTTGTGACCTTTTCCAGGCCTACAGTTATGCTATTGTTCATACTCAATGTGGTTTTCTTTTCAGCACAATATTTGCTAATGGGACTTACTTCTGCAGTTACTTTAAAAAACTTTTTTTTTTTTAAATATAACTAGTCTGTATGTATATATTACAGATGCAGTCAAAGACAACTGATTTTAGAAAGTGTGTATTTTTTTTGTAACCAAGGTTACCAAAAATACATTGGTGGCATGTGTTTAGCGTGAACAGTAATTCCTTAAGAAAACAGAAACAAAATAAAAACCTTTCATGATTTAAAAATCAGAACTAAAAAATTAGAATTTAGTGTAGCAATAAAAACTAAAGTTCTATTCATAGAATTTAAACTATTCTTACAATTTAAACCATTTAGAAGAAAAACAGTATTTAATTATAAAAAAAGTTGATAAGTCTGGATGAATTGGTAACCTACAAAGGTAGGATGATGTGGAAAGTAACATTAAATGAATAAATTAAGAGGCCAGAGAGAGAATTCCTTTTTAAAACAGAGGAAACCAAGTCAAGAGAAAGATCTGCAAAAGCAGTATAAAAACCCCGTCTCTACTAAAAATACAAAAATTAGCTGGTCATGGTGGTGCGTGCCTGTAATCCCAGCTACTCAGGAGGCTGAGGCAGGAGAATTGCCTGAACCCAGGAGGCGGACGTTGCGGTGACCCAAGATGGTGCCATTGCACTCCAGACTGGGTAACAAGAGCAAAACTCCATCTCAAAAAAAAAAACAAAACCAAAAAAAAAACCTCAAAGAGCAAAGCACCACACGTAAATTTTTATCGTCTTGAATTCAGACCACATTTTGGTCAGCAAATGACTTTGCATATTTAAGAAATTACAACCCATTTCTCCAATATGATATAGAGAAGGGTATACAAAGATAATTAATATTGAAAGCCCCAATGTGAGAGTTTAAAACATCACCTAATAGAAAGAACTGATTTCTAGTAGTTAGAGTTTCTCAAACACATTAAATACTAAAGCAAAACAAGACGTTAACGGCACAATTTATTAACACACACATATATAAGCCAAAATGCACTGGAATTTAAAAACAATATTCTATAGCATTATCTAAAAGAAAATTTCACTAATTTTTTTAGTGGTGTTCATTTTTATCAATAAAAATGTTTCAATCAACTTGCTTTTACTATTTTCCTTCAGGCCATGGTAAAGATGTTCTGGAAGATATCTAGCTTACCAATCTAGCCCCTCTTTAGAATGTGTTATTATTTTTATCTTACAGAATATAGCTGGCATTATTACTAAAATTTTTTAAATGATGTATTTTTTCCTAGGACTAACAATGTACAATTTATATTTGGCTAAGAAAAAGAAAAAAGGATGAAATCACAGGCATCTAAAGTTAATAAGCAATATAAATAGTTACCCTAGTATATCACTTAGTTCAAAAAATGTCCTCCATATTGCTTATGTATTCATTCATTCATTCAAAAATGTTGAATGTTGTACTAAAAGTTGAGACATAAACAATGAGTAAGACAGAATCAGCAACTGCCTTCAGAAAGCTTACAATTAAAGTGAAAAAGAAAATATACGAACCCCAGAGGAAGGAGGAGAAAGGAACCTAACTTAGGTCAGGTCAGACAAGCGCTCCCTAATCTGAGCTAGAAAAGCTCCAACATATGAAGGAGCTTCAATTCTGATGATGTGAGTCCAGAGTCAAGAAAAAGAATGGTTCAGTCTAAGAACTGAAAAGACTGGTGAGAATTTAAGCTGTCAATATTTGGAGGAGAAAAACAATATAAGACCAACTAATTCACATTACGAAATTTGTGTTTACCTCACTGCTAAAAAGGTATTGAAAAGCATATTCCTAGGTCATCCATGAAAAAAATAAAATGAACCCACAAACTACATACATTAGCGATACACTGGAAATACAAGTTATGAAATTGAATTACAAAGATTACCTTCAGAAGCACAGGCTTAATCTAAGCCCTTTTAAATACTAACACACTCTTCCACACATTCCGTGTGTTTTCTCTTTAAAATAAAAATGCTATATAGGTGATCTCATTTCTTGGTGTGGCAGTAATATTAAATTGCCTAATTTAAAGCTGTGCCCTCCACCCACTCCCAAATGAAAAATCAACAGTACTTACTACATCCAGCCTTATAGCTGAAGCCTGGAGGGAGGAGGAATCCTTGCTGGGCAGCTGCAGCCAGTGTCCGTTGATCAGGAGGGAATACGGGAATCATTAATGGCGGCAGCTGACCTTGAACCTGCTGAACGTGATAGAGCGAATCAAAGAGAAGAAGTTTCGATGCTCCATGCTTCTTCCCACCCTCCTTATTTCATGATAAAAGAAAATCATTTATTCAATTCAAAACAATAGCATAGAAGCTTGCAGTGATACTGGGCTTGAGGATATGCTTTGGGATTACCTTAGACATCAGAACTGGAAAATCCTAGAACTGAAAGGTATTATTAAGTCTATTCTCTGACATGATGAATAATTTCCCTACATGATATTCTTAGCAGTGATTAAAATATCACTACGCAATGATAAGCCTTTTTCTTATTGCACTAATGAAATGGCTAAAAAGTTACCCCTTAGAATGAACTGAAATCGCCCTCTGCAAATCCTACTTGTTGGGACTAATTCTACCTTCTAAAACAAAACTCATTAAATCTGTATCATTTTACATATAAATAGCTCTTCATTCTTTGAGGACAACTTCTCCTGTTCACACATAATACTGAATTTTAAAATTCTTGAATATAGTAATAGACCTAAAAGAAAGCTTAAAGAACAGCTAGAACTTTAGTCTTTTTTTTTTATAGATGAGGTTAGTAATGCCGAAAGACAATTGACTTGCCACAGAATTAGTTGGAACTGCATCTCGAATTCAGTCTCTTGAATCCTGCTACACAGACTCTGTACGATATTTTTGCCTGTATCTATGCCTTTTGAAGCAACTGAACCCCTCCTCAGACCACAGGGTCTCTCTTCTGGTTGCCTTCTTTGGAATGCACTCTAACTTGCTGGTCCCACTCTCAGAGTATGGGGTTCACATTAGTTAATAAATAATCCATCACAATGGAATCACTATTTTCTTCGAACTGAATAGGAATTTCTAGAAATATAACCTAATGTAGCCATTTCTGCAGCCTTGTCACATTATTAACTAATGTAGAGATTTGTCATTAAGTAAAATACATTTTTTGAATCAGTATTTAAGCAAATCTCCCTGGTGAAAATGATTAGTGGTTAGTGTTTATTGATGGATGGATATATGGATGGTAATTTGAGACCGTGTTTAAAATTTCTGACAGTTTATTTTCTCCACTAGTTTTCCCACACCTTGAGCAGTTATTTGTAAAATATGTAAGAAATGCCTACTATGTGCAAGAAACTGAACTAGGCAGTAGGGATGCAATAGTGAAAACAAGAAAACCAAAATCCTGCATCTATGAAGCTTTAATTATAATAGGGATGATGGTGGAAAAAGTAAAAGAAAAAAATACATAAAAATAATTTATTCAGTCACTAATCTTAACAGCACCTCTGAATTATCTCTCAGATCTGTTTCCTTGTTTTCCCACTGGCATTACATATTCATAGGGTTCTGATGATTCTTACAGTTCTCATCATTTCTCACTTTAAAAGCCCACCTTCAATTTCTCCTTTATTTAACCTTCCACAGTAAACCTCTGAGCTATTTCTGAGATTCTGGTTGGTGAGTGAGGTGGCCAGCGAGGACTGAGAGAGGGAGAAGGGGAGGGTGAAAGGGAAGGCAATGTGTGTGTGGCAGCGGGGTAGCGAGAGAGGGAGAGGAAAGAGCAACATGTGATGGTTGATCTGTTTTCAGCAATGACACCAAATTAGAAAGCATTATACAGAGCAAGTTTTATTAGGGTTATTGTCAACTGGTTATCATTTGTATATAAAGCACACTTGTTATGGCAGTTTTTATCTAGGTAATTTATACTTTAATAGTTTATAATATTCTTTTAGATAAAATTTTGAGTATTTTAAGGAATAAATTGCAATGTATTCTGGAGCTTTTATTAATCTGTGCATTCTAAACTTTTATCTTTTATGAATTCAATTATTAAAATGCATTTAGTTGTAGTATAATTTGTTTTAGTGTCTAAATTTTTCAAGATCCACTTGTAAAGAGTGATATAGAAATTTAAAGCTGAGAAAGACCCTTGAGACTATCAGCAACAACATAATCATGATGATGATGAGGAAATAAGGCCTAGCTTGGCCAAAGAAATTGTTCAAGATCCCATATTTAGCTAAAAGCAAACTTAATATTGGAATTGCATCTCCCGATCATTCTAGTGAGGGGAAGTAGGAGAGAAAGGAACTGAAAGAGGAACCACAAGGTAGAAAAAAAGGAACTATTTGAAAAACCTAATTTCACAGTCCCAGTGATGGGTTTTTATTAGCCTATCACAAAACAGGCTGTAGAGTACTGTACGGTTAAGAATCAGAATAAAGTTAACAGTGAAATAAATACAATCCAAAATGTGTTGTTAATCTATGTGAGCAACTAAAAACACATCTCAAAATATCATTGATCCTGATTATTTATGGATTCTGTATTTGCAAATGTGTCTATTGGCTAAAATTTACTCATACCCAAAATGAATATTGCCACTTTCCTGGTCATTTGCAGACATGCACGAAACAATTAATAATTTTGTTGGTAATTTTTTGTTGTTTAACAAGGTCCTAAGCATAATGCTTAGGTGCTGTCTAGTATTTATGAGGCAATAGGGCTGTGGTGTGACTTATGGAGAAGAATATGTGTTAGATAAACTTTGTTCAGGCATGAGTTATCCTGCTGTTGACTCTGAATTCAATGTTAATGAATAAATAATAAATATGAAACAAGGTATTTTTAAACAAAAACACATACACAACAAAGTTATGTATTGATTAGCTGACGAAAATGTTGTAACTAGAAGCTCCCAAGAACCGAATTATATTTCCTTTAGGAGCAATTGTTCAGCATTCACTAATTCAATGCTCATAGCAACTTTAGAGACCATAATACATGCAAATAATGAGCAATGACTGTATTATTCCTGTATCTTAATTGATTTTCATTGCACTGCTGCCGAAATTTAGCCAATATTTGAAAGAAGAAGACACATGATATCAAAACAATATGTTTTCTGGGTAGATTCTAAAACTAATTTGTTATAGGGTTAGTAATTCATTCTATATATTTTCTAGTTTTGAATATTTCCAAATCCTAATCATTAATTTCTTTTTTTTACCAAACATATGAAATTTCCTTTAAACCAGTAATTAAAGTTGAAAATGTGTGACATTTCTAATTAAGTTTCAACAAAATACTTTTGACATAAATTTTTAAAGATACAGAGCATGTTATTCCAGCTTAAATAATTCGTAATACACATAAGAGGCTACTTCCTATATTTTAAAAACTTAAAAAAAATCCTGTCTTAATGCTTTTTATGTGTCTACCTCAAGATAGTACATAGTCTCTAAAATGTTATGAATCCAATATGAATCAACTATATTATACCATATAATACCTATCAATTACTCATAGTTATATACCTATATATATACCTATATATACCTATCAATTACTCATAGTTAAATATTTTATATTTTATGTAAATGTTCTATTGTTGAAACAATCAAGTGCTTCAAGGCATTAATATATTAGGTAGATTCTTAAGATTATTTAATCTGTATTTCCTACATCTCCCTATTTATTAATTTATTAATTCAATCACATTTGCTAAGTAGAATATGCAGTTTGTGGTAACTAGGAATTAAAAGACGAATTCACATACATGGCTGCTCTCTAGGAGCTCTGAATCTTGTGGGGCAAATAATTATAATTTATTGCTGTTAATTCAATAATACAGACTTGTACAGGATACTAGGGAAGTACAGAAGAGAGGCTCCTAACACAGCCAGGAGAAGTCACTAAAGGCTTCATGTAAGCAGGTGCGGCAGGTATAGGGCCTGAATAGGGAAGGAGCAGAGAGAGAGACATAAGAAAAGAAACAGGGGCAAGAAAAAAACATCATGTGAAGGAGACCCTACCAGCAGTTAGGAATGGCAAAAAATATAAAGAAAGCAGTGGTGAGAGGTCTGCCTGAATCAGTTTATGCATTAGGGTAAGAAACTAGATTTTCCTGTAGACTATCGGGAATCACGTAGGGATTAAATTAGGGTCTGTAGAATACTCTAGTGGATATGGAAAAGAGATTGGAAAGGCCCAGTGTAGAGACCAAGTAGAAAGTTAATACAGAGCAACAGATTATGAGGGCTTGATGAGCAGGAGAACTGTACTGGATGAATAGAAAAGAAAAACAGAAATATTTTTTAAAATTGCAGTAACCATAGATGAAAAAAATGACAAAATCAAAGATAATGTTTATTTGATGTCACTCTACTTATAGTGGTATCAAACAACTAAAGAAATCAGCGTAGTAGTGATAATTTTCATGGAGAAATGATGACCATGGTTTTAGACATGATGAAATGAAATGAAACTAGATGTGAGGTGGCTGAATGATGTTGCATTGGAGCTATGTTACCAGCAGACAGACACTCAGTCTGAAGCTGAGGAAGAGATCTTCAGAGGCCATGGCTTTGGGAGTCACAAGTTAATGAGAACAAACTAGACAATCTAGAGAAGGTCTAAAGGACAAAGAGGGGAACAGCTTAAAATCATCTGGGTTCCAACAACAGTTCAACAAAAGACGAAGGAAAGGAGCCTGTTAGCAAATAAAATTTCAGTTAGATAAAATTAGGAAAATCACGAAGAGTATGGTATAACAAAAGCCAAGGGAATTTCAAGATTGAAGGGGTAAACTAATTGTAAAAAAAAAAAAAAAGCAGAAAGTATTTTAGAGACAAAAATAACATCTCTTAGAAGATGAATTTATAATAACATACTTCCATTAGAACAGAGTGTAGAAATCATATTGCAAAAGGTTGAGGACTGAACAACAGGCCGGGAACAGGAGAAAGCAAATGTAGACTATTCTTCAGAGAAAGTTGATAAGAGGTCAGGAGAGACATTGATAGCAACTGTAGAAAGATGTAAAGAGAAACAAAGGCTTTTTTTTCAGGCAGCAGGGTTCTGAGCACATTTACTAGCCGAAGGGAGTGAATAGAAATGGAGAGTTTTAAATGTAGGAAAGAGAGAAACTAACCAAAATTCCAGAGGAGGCTAGAAGACAAGGCAGAGGTGGAGGGATTCATTTAGTACGGGAGTGGCAT